TCTTTTTAACGGTATATAAATTAAGGGGTTTTGTAAACTTTGAAAATTTGGGTTTAAAAATCGCTGTTACGTAATAACTCTGTAAACAGTTGAAAATCGAATCGATAATGTGGGGTGTAAATTAAAGGTATTGAACTGTTCTTTCAATTGGTAGTCAACAATTAAAAATCATATCGTATTTGGTTGCTCTAGTAACCAAAATATATATTTTTCACGCATGAGTGATTTCACATCCCGGTTTGATCGCGTTGACTAAAATGTACTCGTCAAGACCTTCAATTTGATACCAAACATAACTATGTTTCGTTCATAAACGAAAAAGTTATGCGCGTGTTTCCGCATGAGTGATTTTGTCTGCCATATTGAAACTCTCCTATCTCAGAAACAGTAAAAGATAGATCCATATAATAATACATTTTCTGTATCTACTCGCAGAGATCTTTCAAACGGCATATAAATCTAAGGGTTTTATGAACTTTAAAAAAATGGTTTTTAAAAACCTCGTTCTTCAATTTCATTGGCTAATCAAAAATAGCAATACCGGTTTTAAACCTGTCGTAACTGGACCGTTTAACGATAGGCTATAGTAACTTGTCATAAATAGTTTGATAGGCAAGGAGTAAAGACTGGGGGTAAGCTTATTTTAGTTATTTTAATGATTTTTACGCATGAGTGATTTTTAATTTCGATTTTAGTCCGTATTCATAAGAGCGGCTTGAGACATTTCGTTTTGATACCAAACACGCCTTAGTTCGCGTCCGGACGTGGTACAGAAAACACGTTTTTACGCTTCAGTGATTTCAGTTCCGGTCCAATGGCTTTTTGAATAGCGTCCGGTAACAGAGTGTGGTAAAATACTTTCCAACGATACCAAACATGTATATATTCGGTCAAGTAATAACGAAGAAATCGATTTTGAAATTTCTGTGACGTCACTTCCGGTGAATTTAAACTCGAATTACTCGAAAACGGTAAAAAGATAAACCCATAAAACTATATATTTTCTTAATCACCGCGACGAGACGAATCGATTGGTAAAAAGTTCTAACGTTTTTATTGACTTTCGCAATTTAGGGTTTAAAATCGCTCTTGCGTCATAACTCAAAAACGGCTGAAAATCGAATCGAGAACCCCGGGTCAAAACGAAAGCTTTCGGTTTATTCTATCTTATAACGACTTTATCTCGAAAATTTTGAGCGTAAACGGTTGCCCCAAACGATAAAAAACCGGTTTATAGCTTAGATGTATTATAAATTTCATTTAAAATCAGTTTACAACTTTCTTATACATAAGTTATTCATTCAAAGTCAGTTTACAACTTTCGTATACATAAGTGTATTCATTCAAAATCAATTTTCGTAAAAAAAAAACAAAACGGGAATTTAAAGTGTTCATAAAAATCACAAAATTTGACCAGTTGTTAAGGGCAACCGTGTTTAAAATATGCAATCAGTTGACCGTGGTATGCACTTGAAAGGAACCTAATTAAGGGGGTACGATATATAAAGCGTAAATTTGTGAATGCATGCGAAGAGAAAAGGTCCGTCAATTCTATTAATCTTTTGTGATTAATGAAAAGCTATATTTAGTAACGAAGGATAAAGGGTTTTTGTTCAACATAGTTCCGCTAGGTATTGTAAATCTAGACTAAGTGGCGACTGTACTTGACGGTCGCTGCGTTTGAAAGGATAATAGATTCTTTTGTGATTAATGAAAAGTTATATTTAGTAACGAAGGATAAAGGATTTTTGTTCAAAATAGTTCCGCTAGGTATTGTGAATCTAGACTGAGCGGCGACTGTACTTAATGCCTTTTTCTTTCATTGACACCCGCGTGGGGCTGATGAAATAGCTCCTGGTGGTTGTGAAATACCGCGACTAAAAATAGATCATGCGCAGTCTACAAGAACGTTACGCTATGACAGTCATTTCCTTACTAAATGTAGGTAAGTAAACGAGTTATATTTTATAAATATTATTTTGAACCTATTAAAAAACTATTTGTTTTTTTATTTATAAATTAAGCACGTATCTATTTAGAAACATTTCTTTTATCTTTCATAATGGTAATTATCTCTCCGTCTAGGGCCGAGGACCTGACCCTCAATGTCCGCGATTCAAGCCCTAAATCGTGTATACGAGTCAGCTCCGTATACTTCCGGGAGATTAAAAATAGAACGATAATGTCATTCTAAAAATAGACGGATGATCACATTCTCAAAATAGAACGATGATGTCATTCTTAAAATAGAATCCAATATGGCGCCGCGCATGCGCAGTCGGGCCCCTAAAGAGGCGCCTATACTACTCATGCCGCTTGTTTTTTTTTTTTTTGTTTTTTTTTGTTTTTTTTTTTTCATATATATTTTTCTTTACAACAAAAGGCTAAGTATAGGTTAGAGTGCATATTGGGTGTTCTTCGTAAATAAGAAAGCTAAAAAGGAGCGGAGCTTGCGAAGCGACTGTAGCTTTCTTATTTACGAAGAACATCCAATATGTACTCTAACCGGCTTAGTGCTCCGCCAATTTTTTTTCCGCCCAACACACTGCATGACGTCACACGATATCCTAAATGTGTATAACCATATTTGGAAGAGGTAGCGGTACACATTTTCGGGTCACGTGTTTTGCAAAGCTTATTCTCGCATTCTGTTTAGGTAAAAAGATGGATAACAATGCAGTAAAAATTCATTGTAATAAGGAAAGGAGGTATGACACGTAAAAAAGATGTATACCACGGAACACTAGAATGTTTTATTTATGTGCTGATTTGTCATGTGCCCGATTTTCATGTACTGCAACTTCACAGTAAGCTACAAAAAGTCGACATGTCTTGCCTCGCCCGTCACCTCGACATATTTTTCGGGCTGAAATGAACCTGTAGCTTGATTATATATGCATCATACATATTTATTATGTTCATATACATATCATCTTCGGACAAATGACAGTATATTGTAAAATTAATAAAAACACCCTACTTTCGGTTTTGCAGCTGCACGGGCTGTAATATTTACATAAAAAGTAAGAAATATTACATACATACTTTGTTGGAATAAGTGAACTCTTTATTTGGAAATTATAAAATGATACTGGTTCCGTTAGTAATAAAACATTTTTACTGTTATTTTGCCTGTTTTCATTTCAATGAACCTCTTTTTTTAATTCTATGCCGTAGTGACGAAATACATGTGCGTGTACGGAAAAAAACATTTTGCATAAATATTAATTAGTAGGAGTAAACTTCAAGATCTCTGCACATGCGTACATTTCACTTTAGCGCTCTTCGAAACTTAGCTCCGCCCACTTGCGTTTTATAATATAAAACGTTCAGTTTATATAAAATCTGTTCTATTAAGATTTGAAACCTGAAAATTTGAAAAATCCTCGTCGGTGATTGGCTTAAAAAAATTGGCGAGCACTAAATTTCCTTATCGAACATCTTTAAATTCAGTTTTAATTGTATAGTATGTTCATTGCTTTTTTTACCATACACAGTCATTTATACTACAATATTGATGATGTCTGTAGTATAATAATAATTTCGTGTGAACTATTAATCAATGTACACATGTATATATGTTTAATGTAACTAGTAAGGCCAGTTGGCCAGGTGGTAAGCTAAATTATTTTCTACCGCTTTTAGGGCATAGGCGGCGGGTTTTATTGCCCGTACATTGCCGTAACATTAGTTCGTAAATACTCGTTCACATAGGGATGACTTAAAATCGTCAAACTTTGTGAATGTACGTTGGTCTTATTAAACATGTTATTGTGTAAACGTGATATTGTAGTTCTGCAACTGGAAGCACGTTTTCTTTAACTCTATTTTCTATATTTGAGTTTTACATTTCATTTGTATATATATTTATCTATATCCGATGGAAGATACGAACATGTTAATTTGTTGTTTTTTATGTTAGGCCAGTTATTTAGATCTCTATGTAAACATGTTATTTAAAAGCTGACAACTTTTATTTAAACATTAGATTAAGAGGCATATTATTTGCAGTACAAAATGAGAAGCATACACAATCGCATTTTCAAAAGTAGTTTTCCAAAGGAACAATTTGCATGTCTGGAATTTTGGCAACGAACGCCCTCCATAAGGGCGGGGTCAATTTTGAATTTAAGGCTGTAGTTAAGACAGACTTACCAGAGGTCATCTAGACAATATTCCATGCTAGTTATTTAATTCTTAGCCTTTGCTGCTTAAGCTCTTACAATATACATTTATTGACGGCGCGGGCCAACATTTGTCACCAGGGCCATTGTTTTATCAACTGTGGTAGATCTCCGTAAGACAAGACTCTATCTATTGGAGAATATTTATTTTTACTATGATAATACATTGATTCCAATTTCACCTTTACGGCTATAATTTGAACAAACTTGAAAGAGGTCTATATATCAATATTTCATGCCAAGTATCTGAGTTCTTGCCATTGCAGTTTCAAAGATTTGATATACTACAACAAGATAAGAAGAATTTTTTTCCGGTGTTTCCTTATAATGACTTAAAAATGACCCCAAGGACAGAGTCAATGTTAACCTTATTCCATCCTATGAACAACTGGATAAATAAATGCTTTGCGTTACACTCCGGACAAGAAAAGCGTATCAAAAGTTCGGGAAGGGAGAGGATTAAAAAAGAACCAAATAATATTATGACCAGATAGAGTAATGGTTCTTTCGCCAGTTCTCCTATTTGTGCACGTTTATATATTTTAAGTTCCAAGTCAATCACTTGAATAACTTGATTATGCAATAGAAAAAGAACATATCAAAAAGTAGAATTATTGAAACATAGGACCAGTAAAAGTTATGGTCATTTCACGCTGAACTTCTAACCAATCCAATCAGCAAAAATTATTTAAATCAATTGATCGACTGACCACAGTCTTGCTCCAATATACCAACTCGGGTACTTTTACTAGACTACCTTAAATTGGTAAGAAACATACGTGCCAAGTTATCAAATTACGCAAGTCTAAATCTTACCTGATGGGTTTATGGCGGCTCTCAGATTTGTCTGTAAAGATACTGATGTTTCATGGCATGCATCTAAAGCCTTCAATAGACCAACCACATCGCAAACCACGTCTTTCGTCAAAACCTGCAAACGAATTTCCTATTAAAACCACGAATACGGAATTTCTTACCTTGAAAGGGGAAAAAGTACGACTGATTTTACTTTTATATTGTTAAAATGATTAGAGGCACATTATGACTCAGAAACGAATAAATTCAGGCTTCTTTAGAAAGGACAAACATGGATTTTACAACATTGAAATAAAAGTTTTAGAGCATGTTAGTTTCATGTAACCTGCTACTTTCAACCTCCAGAAAGTAGCCATTAATTTGAAATACTTTGTCATAAAAGTAGAAAAATGTAGACAGTATAGTATTTTGACTTGCAGGTGAGCTAAAAAACTAACAAGGGACTGGCATGGGTATAAATCGTATAAACAATAACTTCGATCATTCTTAAAACGTATCAATTTTTAAAAATATGGAACATACAAGTATATAGGTAAACCGACCTGTTTTACAGTAACAAGACACGCTAAACAAGAAGGCCATGTTGGCCCTTGATCGCGCAACTGAGATACATTGCTAGAAAATGGCACAATTCGTCAATGCAAAAATCAGTAACAAAATCACATAAAGATGTTATATTTGTCCAAAGCAGCACACATTTTTTAATCATGTGTAGATGTCCGCTAGGGAAAACTATATGCCAAATATCAAAGCTCCAGTAGGTATTTTAATTTCACACAAGAAGACATAAGTGCGTTTTCTATGTAATTCTATTTTTTTTTAAAAAAATGACCTAAAAAGCTTGATCTTTTTAGAACATACGGACATGATAAGAATTACAAATCAACGCTACATGCCAGAATATCAATAAAACCCCAGAAATGGGGCCAATTTCGACCCTACGATTTTCTACGGGCAAATCATAATTTTATATAAACATAAACTCCTAATTAAATTTTAAAAAGCATTATTAAAAGTTATAAAAGCCTGTACGAACTTTATCATCTTCTAATAAGACGATAAAGCCCAACTGAGACTTTGTTACTTTTGATTAGGAGCTAAACTAATTTAGGACTTTGTTACTGGGGTCTACTAATCCACTGTCACCGGTCTTCGACGGTCTTCAAAGACCGTCGATTGTAGGAGAACGTCGATGAGAAGTTTTTTGTTTATAAAAGCCTTTTTAGGTAAGAGATAATAATCATAATTTCAACTCCTAATTAGGAATTAAGAGAATCTTATCGGCTTTTTCTTTCTAATCAGAACCCAGTTTTTTGTTGTTGTTTTCTTTTTTAGTCTTATTTTGGCTTTATAAGAATACTTTTACGCAAATTGAAAATCAGTGCATACTTTCAGTAAATATATCAAGTAATAATCATAAAAATGCATTTACCTTAAACTCTTTCAGCTGCTCCTTACTTACTGTTGAATTCTTCCCTCCCATGCTGCGTTATGCGTCTCTCCTATAATAGGAGTTTTTTGTCTTAGGAATATCTGCCTAACTCATCGATCTAGAAAACATACAAATATTGTATACCATGTATTCAAGCGTAAAGTAACTCAACTTTTGATTGTCAAATATATTCATATATACTGAATGTTGTCACCCCATTCAGCATTTTAAGTTACATACCGGTATTAGTTTTCTGTGACAATTATGGTTTAGTCTGTCTAAGCAAATATGATATATTTATCCATTAGGAAAATGGTTCAAAATGATCAAAACAATAACTTATAAATGTAATTATGAATTTCACCAATAGAAAAGTTGAACTTTTAATAAATAATGTTACACATATTTTGCTTAATATAAACATGAACCGTGCTATATTCATGATATTATGTCAAGGATTTTTGTCTCAAGGACAATGGCTGTTGAACACGAGCGGCAATGTAAAACTTGTAAGTGGTACATGGTCTAACTAAACAGCATGAAAACATTTAGTAAGTAAATGCTTGAAGTTACTGACTTTCGTGTAAAGGTCCAGCTATGTTAAGTAAGTTTATAGATAAAAAGTAAACAGTACAATAATTATAAACTTATTAGTTTGGTTGTAGAAACCGAAAGTACACATGTTGACATTAATTCAGATTCGGTTAAAATTGTATACAAATGGGCGTTTTTAAAGTGATAATGTTTTTAATCACAATTTTAAAAACAAACAAAAAAGACATTGAATGTCAAATATATGCATCCGTTACAGTATACAAAAAATACACACTTTCTTGTTTACATGTAAATAGCGTTTCTTACCTTGAAAGGGGAAAAAGTACGACTGATTTTACTTTTATATTGTTAAAATGATTAGAGGCACATTATGACTCAGAAACGAATAAATTCAGGCTTCTTTAGAAAGGACAAATATTGTCCAATATTAACTTGGTCACTTTGCATACATCATCCGGTGGTCGAAGACTGGAATATCCCTGCTATTGTACCTCTTATTGTTTATAGTATAATAAGTGTATACCCTTTGGTTATATAGCTAAAATACCGCAACCAACCACGAGATAATATAATTATGCAAAATGGGCAAGTAAATACTTTCAGACATTACGTAGACTGGTAGAGCTACTTTCAATCAATATCAAGTCCAAGATTTATTAATCGATAATAGTTTAGGTGTTCCGCCTGTAGTTCAAATCTAAGAGCTTTCAGGTTTAAAACATTAATGCTAGAAAATATTTCGATTGACAAAGATAATATATACTTCCGCTGACTGAATTATACAGCATATGTTAGCAACATTGTATACTTTGCAAATTATTTGATAACATGAACATAATCATTTTCTTATATCCTCTATTATATAACGATGTTGATTTAATATGTCCCAGGCCAATGCAATATTTCTTCCAGCAAATTTGTTGTAATGACTTAAACTTTTAGAAGAATTTATTCAAAGGCATGTTTTAATTCAACCAAAACCATGTCAAAAGTAAAACCATTACAAGTTGGCTTATAAAAAAAATGAACAAAGTTATTCGTCGGAAATATCTTTCATGCATATGCCGCCTATATCAACTATGTTTAACCTTATCACGCCCGTTTAACTCACAACGAGTGAAAAATGTCCATCGGTAAAAATGTTGTGAGCAACTTCCGTTCCTCGTTGTGAGCACGCATCTTTGGCGTGTGACACGATAAACAAGGTGAGTTTTTCATAATTTTTGAAGATTACAGACATTTATGTAAAAATATCGAAATGCAGTTAGCTAGCGATGTGTATTCCGAGTATGCACATGTAAAGATATTGCCTGTTGGTGGACAATTTGATGGAAATACCGTGCGACGCAGTCACTTGGGGTAGCTAGAAAACTGGAGACAACTTCTCTTTGGACCTAATTTAACATTAAAAACGTCGATTCTGGTGACGTTTTGTGCATTCTAACCTAAAACAGATGCCCACAAGTCTTCAGCGTAAATTATTATCTGAAAGTCTTCATAGAAACGAAGATATACCCTTTTTTGCTTTGATCCTCGTTGTGAGCACCATAACCTCGTTGTGAGCAAGACAAGCGCAGTGCGTGTATGGTTTTGATATGTAATTCAGATGGTGAAAATCTAATTTTCAATCTACCACAGCAATCTAAACGTTTTTGCACAGCAGCATTTCTTTGCAAGACGTTGTGCATACCCCAAAGGGAGGCATATTAGTTTTGAACTGTCCGTCTGTCAGTCCGTCAATCTGTCCGAAAACTTTAACATTGGTCATAACTTCCTAATTAGTAAACGGATTTGATTCATATTTGAACACAACAACCCTTACCACCTTCCTACGGACCTGTATTTTTTTACCTTGACCCCTGAATGGCCTTTACCTTGAAGGTCAAATTGTCCAAAAACATTTAAGATTGGCCATAATGTCCTGGATAATGTTTAGGCACAACACATCTTTGGACAAGGCCTTTCAACTATCCTATATTCTTTTGACCTTGACCCCTGAATGACCTTCACCTTGAAGGTCAAATTGTCCAAAAACTTAAAAATTGGTCATAACTTCCTTATTAGTATACGGATTCTACTCATATTTTGAAACAACACCCCTTTAGGCAAGACCTTCAAACTGATCTGTATTTCTGTATTTTTTTTTACCTTGTACCGTGAATGACCTTATAGAACATCCAAAAACTTTAACATTGGTCATAACTTCTTTATAAGTAAGTGGAATTAATTCATATTTGGACACAATGCCCCTTTGGACAAGACCTTCCAACTGACCTATATTTATTTCACCTTGACCTTGAATTACCTTTACATTGAAGATCTAATTGTCCAAAAACAAATAATCTATCTGGTCCATAAATCAAAGGACAAAGCACCACTTCAGGGGCATTGTCAACTTACCGTGATAGTTCTTGTTTTACATAACTTGGTCAGTCTTCAGCTCAGGATAAACACATGTATGTGTGTATCACACAGATTGTGAAATTGTTGAAATATTCATAAACATCCCGTGGTGTTCACTCGTGCCGCACTAGAGTATACGAAATAAAATACCTGATTTACCGCCACTGATTAGTTCTTCTGTTAATCTAATGACTTGTGAATATGAAGAATAATTATCAAAAAAAAAAAGAAAAGAAAAAGAAAAACTATTGTACAAAAACGTTTTGATTGCTTTTGGTAGATTGAAAATTGTATTCTTGCCATATGAATTACATATTAAAACCAGAAAAGCACTGCGCTTGTCTTGCTCACAACGAGGTTATGGTGCTCACAACGAGGATTAAAGTAAAAAAAGAGTATATCTTCGTTTCTACGAAGACTTTCAGATAATAATTTACGTTTTAGACTTGTGGGCATCTGTTTTAGGTTAGAATGCACAAAACGTCACCAGAATCGACGTTTTCAATGTTAAATTAGGTCTAAAGAGAAGTTGTCTCCAGTTTTCCAGCTACCCCGAGTGACTGCGTCGCACGGTATTTCCATCAAATTGTCCACCAACAGGCAATATCTTTACATGTGCATACTCGGAAAACACATCGCTAGCTAACTGCATTCCGATATTTTTACATAAATGTCTGTAATCTTCAAAAATTATGAAAAACTCACCTTGTTTATCGTGTCACTCGTCATAGATGGGTGTTCACAACGAGGAACGGAAGTTGCTCACAACATTTTTACCGATGGACATTTTTCACTCGTTGTGAGTTAAACGGGCGTGCTTATTATGAAAGTTTTATTACGTGACTAACGTGCTACGTATTTAATTCGGGCATCAATAACCTCTTACATAATTTTTAAAATATATATAATTCTATGATTTCTTTAAAGGTAACAAGCTTTTTTGTCCACATCTTTCCATATTTAATGTTATCTTATCATGTTTTACTAGCGTTTCTAGAGGAGGGATGGAATGCTGCGGAGGCGTGCAACTGAACATCGTCGGAAACCACTGTAAACATTCAGTATAACTATATTACATTTATTTCATGTATATGTATACGGAAAATAGCCCGGGTTACCGAGGATGGTAACTGAAATAAAATGTCTCAACTTCAAATAGTCATCATAATTTTATCTATTTTATATTTTTCAATAAATCATATAAATCATGTCAAAATCTAAATTCTTCCATCTTGGACTGGAAACAATAAAACGGAAAAACCTCGGCTATTTTTGACTTTATTCAGATTGAAATTAGTACTACCACGTGGTTTTAGAATTGTTAAATTCTTGAATAAATCGATTTTGTCAAATGAATAAAAAATATCACATATGTGTTATAGTTTTATGATACAGTTTGGTCATAAGGAATAAGTGGATAAATTTTGTTAAAGTATTTTTGATAATACAGGTAATTCATATCTCTGGTAAACCCAACATAATATACGTGGCTATAATATAACGTCCACAAACTGATCAAGTCAACGCTAATAGACCAGTTTAACCTCAAAATTAGAAACTTCTAATAAAGGCCGAATAAAGATTCTATTAACCTTGAGAAATATCTTATATATCTACCAAGTTTATTAATATTGTCCCGTTTCCATTTCCTTACTAGTAACCATAGGTTTCCAATTGAAATAGGCATTTATTCCACAGGAACAGCGTTAGTGCCGCTCATGCCATCTTAACCGTTTTGGTGACGAAATACATTATTTACTAGTGCCCTTCCTTCAGTGATAAAAGGTCAAAGCTTATCCCAAAAAGAACTTTTATCAAAGGCCTTATTTTGATAAACTTAAAGCTGTTCTATCATTTACGTTCGAATCGTTCTATCATTTACGTTCGAATCTGGCATATTTTGTAAAACACTTTAAAGATTGAACATTTCAGTAGGTGTACATTAATTTTTTTTTCTCAATGGATAACAAGCTTGTTTTTATTTGTTGTTTTTGTTTTTTTTCGTGACAAAACTATTTATTGCTATACCCACATAACAAAATGCCTTTAAACGACTATTTGTATTACATATTAATACCGTCAATTGTTCATACCCAATTGGACTTGATTTTGTTTGTTATACTAACTTTGCTCACATGTTATAACATTATACTTATATATTGTTTGTCATTCCAAACAAAGTATATATAAATATGTTCTTTAACGAATGTATATATTTGACATCA